GCGCGTGCACGAGCGACGTGACGCTTTACGCTTCGGCATGGACTCGCTGACTGGCGGCACACACAAACGTGCAGTTAACGCGAATGCTGATGACGAACTTGACATTGAAACAACAACGAGCCACATACATAGTAATAAACCACATCGAAGAAAACGACATGCTGGACATGCGCACGATGATGAGACGACGACCAGCGCCTTGCATCCACCCGAGATCACAGCGGAATTCCTGCAGCGTATATTTGTCGAGTATGGACATAAGGCTGATGGCACAATGACGGTGGAAGAATTTCAGCGCATACTGAAAAAGCTCGGCTTGAATCAGCTGATAGAAGGAGATAGTTCAGCACAACAACAACAGCGACAAGAAAAAACCGCCCAACATTTACAGCATTCTGCGGCGAACCAGCAGCAGGCGACCAGCAATGGCACTGTAAGTATTGCATTTTACTTTTAATTAACTGATCCTTCGCTACTGCTACTCTAACTCACCCACACCTTTCTTTCAACCACTTTGCAGTGTGTTAGCGATGCCGCACTAGTCTACCACGTCCAGCCACATAAACGAATTGAACACACACACCTGCATATCGAGCGCGCCATGAATTGCAATGATACCGATGCAACGGATTGTGCGCATGCGCAACAAAATCAATCAAAGCATAGAGTGTTGCATGAACACACGCCAAATTATACGATTAGCAAAGAAGATATGCTGCATCTGTGTCCAGTATTGTTGTATCAAATGGCGTCACCACTGGCTGGTGATCGCGCCGGTTGCATAGATTCCTCGATACTGGAGCATGTTGAAGCATACGAAGCGAGCGAATACGACGTCAAGGAGGATATTGTTTATGGTGAGTAAAAGTTGTTACAAGTAAAAAACTTATAAATGACTTATATTTAAGTTTGGATTAAAGTTTTAGGAGTCGAAATTTCCCATAGTGGATCAGTCTTTTCTACCTCACCGCATCTCTTCATCTATTCGGCTCAGCAACGAGTTTCTTATCTCTCTAAATTTGCTCAATATTCCAAGATTAGTCTTCAATAACCTATTGAGATCCAAAACTTAAACAAAAGCTGTTCAGGGAATAATTTTTAGACTCCACTATTATGTTTATTTGATCTTTAACTAATTTAGATAAAATTTCCAATGTTTA